ATCTACTCATACTCAACTTTTTCTTCCATTACCTCTTAACATTTAACTTTTATATATAAATTCTAGATGCCCACAATCTTTATAACTTCTTCTGAAGTCTCTACTCAATCTCTTACAGTATGGTTTCCAGGCTCACTGCTAAAACTGTACTCAAAGACTCACACTCAGTAAATCTCTATTCCTGTATCTCAAGATTTCACAAACTCAATAGCAACTACTGTTTATTTAGTACTTTCTTCATGGTAGAAAACGTCAAGTATTTTACACAATCATCTCACTTAATCTTCAAGAATACCTTATGAGGGGCACCTGGGTGGCTCAGTTGGTTGTCGGCTCAGGTCATGATCCTGGAGTCCCAGGATGGAGTCCTACATTGGGCTCCCTGCTCAGCGGGGAGTCTGCTTCTCCCTCTGATCCTCCCCCCCCTCATGCTCTCTCTCTGTTTCCAATAAATAAGTAAAATCTTAAAAAAAAAAAAAAAAGAACACCTTATGAGAAAGGCTTTCCCATAAGACAGGTAAGAAAACAGAGGCTTAGAGAAATCAAGGAGCTTGCCCCAAATCACCCCACTAGAAAATTTTACCATCACCTCCTCTCTAAAGTCTTTAATGTATGTACTTAGAAACATTTCCCTTAGTCCTTCATTAAGGATATCAACCATTTGAGAATTTAATATTGATTCCATTCCTCAATCTAAACAATGATAGTTGAAGACATAAAATTGTTTAGCTCTGTTGACTTCGGAAACTTAAGAGAATGAGAAAATGAACTTAACTTCTTAAATCTTTTCTGAAGGTTTCAGAAGAGACTCCTGTATTGGAAGACTTAATTTATACATAAATTTATAAGGTGTCTTTTAATTCTAGGAATCTAAATCATAGTGTTAACATTCAGCTTCTCAATTTTTGATTTCTAGGAACAAGAAGGCTCATCTAGTTGGGAAAAATTCAATCAGGAATATTTTGAAAATAACTTTATAACTACACAGCTCTGATTGTGGCATGTTACTTAGATTCTCTGAATCTATGTTTCTTCATTTGTAAAACAGAAATAACATCATATACTTTAGAGGGTTGTGGGGAAAATTAAAGCCTGACAAATGGTCAATACACTCTGGCTTTTATTATTTCTTTATTCTGTATCTAGAAGTAGTTTGTTCTCATAGGATTTTAATTCAAATCATATCAGCTACAAAAACTCTAATGACTTTCAATCCAGATCCTAAATATGAATACTACATAAACTTGATCAATGGATTCCAAATAAACATATTAAAAATTATAAACTCAAGCTCCCTCCTTTATCACACATTTATTCAAGGAATGTTTAAGACACCTCTAATTTCATAAACATAGTATCAGTAGTCTATTAATACACATTAACATCTAGTACTCTTCTCTCAGTTTCTTAAAAAAATTCTAGTCTATTACATTTTAGATAAAGGTATACAGAAGTTCACCTCTCTTAATCGTTTCCTTTCTCTAGCTCCTCCTACCTGTCTCAGCAAAAGAAAAGCTAGGTAAAGAGATTATCTAGGTAGTACATAGATAGCTAGGACATGCAAAGGTCAAAATCATCAAGGAATCTATTCTGGAGACTCAATAAAATATAAAATTATTACTTGTACATTCGACATTAAAAAGAGCAAAAGAAGAATATAATCAACCTTTTGATTTTTATGTAATTTAACCCAAGCTCCTTTCATATAAGGGTGATTAATAATCCCAGGTAGAAATTCAGAGAATTTCTTGGCTAATAGTGCAATAATAAATGAAGCAACTGAATTTTAAAAATTTGTCACCGACAGTATTTGAAATGAAAGACAGAACACATTCTGGCATAAAGTTACTACCTAAGGTACAGGAAGATACAAACTTTTACCTAGTTGCCTCACACCTTCCCCTCACCCAAGGTCCACACATTTCACAGGGCCACACCTTATTTTATCTTCTTGCTTAACTCTTACAGGACTCCACTTGAACCGACTTTCTTACATGGCTGCCTCCTCCTCTGATCTAAGGATGGAAAGTAATCAGTACCACTCAAGAGTCAGGTGCCCAGGCAAGAGTTAGATAATCATGGGGGGGTGGGGTCGATCATCAAAATATCACCCTATAATTATATCTACATGATCATGGACTTCCACCTTAAGAAATCAATCCAGCTCTTATGGGTGCGCATTACAGGGACAACAAGCTTCCTGTGGACATATGTCAGTCTTTAGTTTTAAATTATTAAATAAATAAGCATTCACAGCTAAGCCAGAATAGGCTACACATTTTATTAGCTACTATAATAAATAGTCTAAGTATAATCTGAACAAATTCATTAAGTTTTTGGTAACTGCTTAGCAATGTTTACCATGTGACAACACAACATTGCTATAGATTCCTTTGAAAAAAAGTAGGTACTAGGGGCACCTGGGTGGCTCAGTTGGTTGGGAGTCTGCCTTTGGCTCAGGTCATGATCCGGGGTCCTGGGACTGAGTCCCACGGTGGGTTCCCTGCTCAGCGGGGAGTCTTCTTCTCCCTCTCCCTGTGCTCCTCCCCTCCCCTCTGCTTGTGCTCTCGTTCTCTAAAAATAAATCAAATCTTAAAAAAAATTAGGTATTAGGAAACAAATTTTCAGACAAAGGTGTATTAACAAGTCAAGATAAGCAAGACCCAGCTTGAACTCACAGAAACATCTTCATAATGTGTTCTTATAATGCCCTTCACATCAAACTACCAAGGGTCCTGTGCTTGTTCAAACCTGCAGTCTCAACCACCCATTCTCTTGTGGAATCCCCACCCTTCTTCCTCCCAAGAGTTTTTCTAGACTTCCCAATCCCAACAGAAAAATCAATAAAGCCTGCCTACAAGAAAATCATCCCTAAACATCAACCACCAACTTAAAATTCTTTTATGGAAGACACTTATTTTTAAATAACATGCAGATTTAGAATACTGAAACATCTGGGGCACCTGGGTGGCTCAGTTGGTTAAGCGGCTGCCTTCGGCTCAGGTCATGATCCCAGTCTCCTGGGATCGAGCCCCGCATCGGGCTCCCGCTCCTTGGGAGCCTGCTTCTCCCTCTGCCTCTCTCTCTCTCTGTCTCTCATGAATAAATAAATAAAATTAAAAAAAAAAAAAAAGATTTGGGGCGCCTGGGTGGCTCAGTTGGTTAAGCGGCTGCCTTCGGCTCAGGTCATGATCCCAGTCTCCTGGGATCGAGCCCCGCATCAGGCTCCCTGCTCGGCAGGGAGCCTGCTTCTCCCTCTCCCTCTGCCTGCCTCTCTGCCTACTTGTGCTCTCTATCTCTCTGTCAAATAAATAAATAAATAAATAATCTTTAAAAAAAAATAGAATACTGAAACATCTAAGTGTCTGGCAAATACCAGGCACTTGGTCAAAGCATTTTGAATAGACAATGTTAGCAGAATAAAAAAATTTAACAACTGGCCATGCATTTGATAATACAGTTTACCACTTTGGCTTTACTGATTTGTGAACTGAGACTCAAAAGGTTAAAGGACTTGTCCATGGACACGACATTTTGGAGCACGGTCATGACTAAACAATTCTTATCTCCTAGTACAGTGTTCCCTTCAACAGGTTATACTGTAATTATGGTCATCATTCCAGCCTTTCAAACTGAAATATGAAAACATACAACTTGTGTTTAAAAAAAAAGGAATATTTAAAGAAATTTATGTAAATTTCCACCAAAAAAGAAAAAAAATTTTTTTTAAAGATTTTATTTATTTATTTGACAGAGACACAGCGAGAGAGGGAACACAAGCAGGGGGAGTCTGAGAGGGAGAAGCAGGCTTCCCGCCAAGCAGGGAGCCCCACGCGGGGCTCGATCCCAGGACCCCGGGATCATGACCTGAGCCGAAGGCAGATGCTTAACGAATGAGCCATCCAGGCGCCCCAAGAAAAAAAATGTTTTTTAAAGTAGGCTCCAAGCCCAGCATAGCGCCCAAGGTGGAGCTTGAACTCAGGACCCTGGAATAAAAGACCTGAGCTGAGAGCCAGAGTGGAAGCTTAACCAAATGAGCCACGTAGGTGCGCCTAAAAAAGAAATTTTAATGACTCTGGCATTCAACCCTTTTATTTCTCAAATATATACTGAGGTAGCTAGCCAAACTTCCTGGTCTTATATACCTCTCCCATAATAAAATTACTTCACTAATATGAAAAATGTTTGATGATACCACATCAAAAATGTCTTTAGTAACTTCCATGTGCACTTCTCACTATACTTTCAATAATGTGTCACTGCCGCCAACTTGCAGCTTAAAAGTAATCATCCCTACATGACTGAATGTTTATTCAGATATATGTGAGTTACACATAAGAACAGAACTGTAACATCAGGCAAGGAATGCTACTTTGTGGTTCAAATTATTTACTGACAAAGAAACATTTAATCAAAGGTAACATCTATGATTAGAAAATTGGCAGTGGGGTGGGTCACTATCTCCCTAATCAATTTTCTAAAGTGCTATAGAAATACAGTATTTGTAAAAGGCCCAATATGTAAAAATATAAAAGTTATAAAAGTGAAGTTGTTCCAGTTAAAGAGGAATTGGGGAGTAAGCCCTGCTGAACTCCTGGGAGCTGTGGAACCCCTAAGGCTCAGCAGAGTACCGTTTAAATAAATAAATTCCTACTCTTCAGAGCTCTTTGCATCTAAAAACTGGTTGTGTTTAAAATCCCAATACGCAAGTTTGAAAAGATTAAGCCTTTTTCCTCAGAACAATTTAAACATTTTTTAATTTCTTTCAGTAATGTCAAAACCACCTACTCTGAGAAAATAATACCTATATCCCACTGATTTTTACACCTCCCATCACTCTACAAATCACTAAAATTCATTCCGCTCATTAATGCAATCTGCCGAAAATTCAGGGGTAGGGATGGGGGCGGCGCATACATTTCTTGGCTTGGACAACTTAAGTACGACCTTTGTGGATTGTAAGTACCATGCGGTGCTTGAGAAGAGACAAGGAAAAATACCTCAGGTGATGAAATTTTCAAAACGTATCTAAACTGCGGTTGGTAGAAGGCTCTCCACAGCCAGCTGTGTTTCAATATTTAAATCTACAAGCAGAACAGAACCATACCTCAACCACCCAACTCTAACATTAAGAACTTTATCACACAATTTACAGTTAAAAATACAAGAAATCAGTGTGATTTGCTTCAATGGATTCGTTCGATGTAATGAATGAACTGGAGGCATCACAGACTTGAGTTCTCAAGGAGCCTCACTCTCAGCTCAGACCCCTCTGAGACCTGAAGCAAATCCTCCAGAATTTGGTGTCTCGAGGCTAAGTGCGGTCCAAAGGAAGCCTACCCCCTCCTTTCTCCAGGCCTCCCTCCCAGGGGTTGGAGCCCTGGGCGGCCCTGCGGGTGGGGGCGCCGCGACGCCCTACTCTTCGTTTCGGAAAAGTTCCGCCCGCCGTTCTCGGGCCAGGCTGGCCTGGGGCTCTCGCCCGCGTCGCGGCCACAAACACCCGCCGGGCCTCGGCGGCGGGAGGGTCGCGCCCCCTCCCGCGCCGCCGCCGCCACCGCCCTCGCTGAGCGTTAACCCCTTGCGGCCCGCCGCCCGGCTTCGGGGAGGAGGCCGGGCCAGGGGGTGGAGTTGTCGTGTCTCCTCCCGGGAGCGCCCGGGCAGACGCCCGGCTTGTTTACAGGCCCCAGGCCCAGGCCTGGCCGCCGCCACCGCCGCCGCGCAGGCCCGCGCCGCCCGCCCGCCCGCCTTCGGCCCGAGCGTCGCGCTTACCAGGAGCAGCCGCGGGCTGGCAGGTCCCTGGTCGGCCAAGGCAGCGGTGGCGACGGCGGCCGGGGAGGGGGCTGGAAGGGGGTCACCGCGGCGGCCGCCGGCCAGGTCAGGCCGGGGAGGGGGCGGAGGAGGGGAGGAGCCGGGCTGCGTCCGGGCCCCCCGCTCTCGGCGCCCTCGCGGCTCAGATCATCCGGGCGTTGGAGCGGGAGGCGGAGAGCGGGTCCCGGAGGAGGAGGAGGAAGATCCGAAGATTCATCGCTTTCGCGCCCCACCTGCCTGGCGCCCCCCCACCCCCCTCCCCAACCACCCGTTCCGGCGCTGCAGCCGCCCGAACACCCGAAGCTGCGGGCCGGGCCGGCGCCGAGACCACTGCTCCCTCGCTCCCGCGCGCGCTCCCGCCCCTAGCGCCGCCGCCGCCGCCGCCGCCTCGAGCGCGTCCCCGCGCAGGCGCGCTCACGACGGCGCCGTGCTGCCCCTCCCCGACTCCTCTGTCCGCCCCGCCCCGCGGGCTCGGCGGCCGCTACAGCTGCGGCGCGGCGGAGCAGCTGGAGAGACCCGGATGTCGTTGGGCAGGAACTGCGGCGAGGGCCGGCAGGCGGGGGAGGGGCGGCCGCAGATGACATCACTGCCCTACCCAGCTTCTCTCGCCGCAGCCCCCTCGCGGCCGGGGCCCCAGGCTGAGGCCGAAGGGAGCAGCCGAATCCCGGATCGGAACCGGGACTGGGGCCCTTACGCCCCCGGCCCTGGGGGCTGGACAGAGTGTGTAAGCGTAAGGAGGCCCGGCCATCGAGAGCTCCTCCAAACCCGGCAGTCTGTCGAGCCCGGACTCGGGAGCTCCCCCTAGGGCGTCGGCTCCTCCCGCCCCGCGCTTCCACTTGTCTTGAATACACACCCCACTCCCTGCCAAGGCGCCGTTCTCAGAACCCGGAGGACCGACCCCGTGCTTTCGACCTCTCTCGGACGCGGTCGCGGCCTCGTTGCCCCCTGGCGGCTGCGGCTTGAACGCACTGATGCACCCAGGCAGCCGCCAGACCCCCTCCCCCGGGGCCCGAGGCCTCTGGAGCCACCCTCGCCAGTGACCCCGGGAGCCCCACGCAGGTGCCCCAGCCACGCACCTCTGGTCCCGAAGGGCAGCCACACCCTACCACCACCCACCCACACGCGACTGCGGCTGATACACGCACGGGGCACATGCTCTGAGTTTCTGGCAGGTTTTCCATCTGTAGCTCATCGGATTCCACCTTGTATTTATTTGCACATGTTAGACAGTCATGTGATTCTGTCACAGGGGACCTCCAACGACCTCCTGCAAGGTTTAAGGAACGCAAGATTTTTCTTGAGAATGATCAGAAACGTAACAGCTGCTTCTGTTAAGAGTTAGAGATCAAGTGAACCTAACTGAAACTGCACATGCAGGCGGCCAAAATCCAGTTTAGCTAGCTGGACTACAGAAAACCGACCCACGCTGTTTGCAGACGCCGGGATAGAATGACAAACCCTAGGCGGCCAATGAATCAGAACTGGGAGCAGTACATCACCAGCCTGCGTTCCCATTGGCCGGGGTGTCTTTCCCTCTCTTGTCAGAGGCTTAACCTGTTCATGGATTTGACCTATACCACGCTGGCTGGAAGAGAAGTTTAAAAGAAAAATCCGTGTTTTAAAAAGATGGTCTCATATATACAAAGAAAAAAACAGATACTTCACTGTAGGAGGCAAGTACTTTAAAAAGAGCACCTGAAAATATTAGTCAAATTGTGTTCTGGCCAATAAGAAGGTAAACTTGTGATGAGGCCTCTCCATTTTATCTCAGAAACTCACTGTAGCAATTTATACCCTGTTACTTTGTATATCCTAAAAGGACTTTGTTGCCCCAACTCTTGGATCAAAAGCAATCTGTTTATTCTTTCTGTCATTCAGCGCACACTTAACTGTTTTTGAAGCTGTGAAAGCCATCTCCAATTTTTTCTACATGACTTTTTTGAGAAGATTCTGTTCCTTTCACATTTAGGCCTGGAACCTGACAACAGGATAAAACAGTTTCACCAAATAGTCCCTGGCTGGCCAATTCTTCAAGAAACCCAAAAATCACTCTCCCCACTATCTATGGCGTTAGAATTTCTTAGAGTAAGTGGAAGATGGATCTTTTCCAGGTATACAATGTGAAAATAAAATTCACTTATGCATTTGGTCCCAGTATCATCTGAGGATACAGTTCCTAATTACTTCTCTGTACACTTGCCAAAAAAAAAAAAAAGGGAAATTAGATCAAAGATCTTTGAAACTGCGCTGTATTGAAATCCCTAATACTTAAGACAAGTAACAGCATGATTAGCATGCTAGTAGACTCATTACAATTGTAAAATTAAAAAGCCCATGTGGCAACCACTATGTGAAGTGCCCCTGGAAAGCAAATTTTCTTATTCCTAAGGCAGAGCCTGGGTAGCCAATGACAGTAGTGGACCATAGAGAACTTGAAGGACTTGCTTATCTTTCTGCTTCCTTCCTTTAGGCTTCCATATCTTTTCTTCTCTCTGTTCTACACTTGCAGGAGAATCTGGGTCAATTATAGCAGAAGAGGCAGAAGAATAGAAAATAAGAGCGTAAAGAGATTTTTAAGGAGGCTGCACAGTGTACCACAGACTGCTGATAAAGCTGTACCTTCCTGCTATTTCTTATATCTGGATACAGCTTGCAGGGACATTTTGGTATGAACTAGGAAACTCATGGGTTATCAGATAACATTTTAAAGTTTGGAACAAAGATATCTTAATATTGTCTGAATAAATATGCTTGATATTATAATATCCCGTTCCTTATTATTATATTAAATATTATGTTACTGAAATATTATGCTATAGACCAAACCCAACTATTTAGAAGGGAGGAAAGGACATTGAAAAAAGAGGCTTAAGGGTAGCCTGGGTGGCTCAGTCGTTAAGCGTCTGCCTTTGGCTCAGGTCATGATCCCAGAGTCCTGGGATCGAGCCCCGCATCGAGCCCCGCATCGAGCCCCACATCGGGCTCCCTGCTCCGCAGGAAGCCTGCTTCTCCCTCTCCCACTCCCCCAGCTTGTGTTCCCTCTCTCGCTGTGTCTCTCTCTGTCAAATAAATAAAATCTTAAAAAAAAAAAAGAAAGAAAAAAGAGACTTAAAAGTTTTCTTTTTGTTTAAACTATAGGGGGCCTCCGACGTGTATTTGGGATGTTCATATGAGTTTCTGTGAAACCTCAGTGAGAATATATTCTCATAATTGTATTTTAGTAATTTCTTATAGGCATATTGTAAAACTATCCTATGCTGCTTTGGAAATCTGTTTACATTTCAATTACCAAAGAGGAAGAAGATTTTCTGGAAGATTGGCTTTCAAGTCCTGAATTTAACTGTGTGCTATTAGCTTAGTACTTGGGAGGCATGGGGTGAGGATGGGGGCTGAGGTGAGGAGTCTGAAGCTTAATCTGATTAGCAATACCCTCTCCTCTTTTCCTCCAGAATCACAATTTAAAGTGAAGGTTACATTGCTTGTTCCCAAATTACTATTGTGAATCCATCCAGGAGAGTCCCTTGAGACAGCCTGGCTTGGGCCTCTCAAAATCGAGGTCAGCAATTTAAGTGATCCCTTGGGGAAGCGCCTGAGAATTCCCCTCACCTGAGCCATCCATCCTCTCACACTGAAGTCAACCACTACTCAGGGGTCACAAAGCCAAGCAGAACAGAGCTTCAACTCTTCCTTCCTCCTCCTACTTCACTACCTGTTCCACGAGTCTTTCTCACAAATATCCTCTTCATCTGTCCTCCTCTTCTCTCTTTTCTCCTTATCACTCTTCTCCCTTTCTTCTGTTCTTTTTTAGTCCCCTTTGCCCTTCTTTTCCCCATTCTTCTCTTCTCGCTTTTTCTTAGCTTAGTCCAAATTACAGCCTCCGCTACCCACTTTCTCCTGAAGCAATACGTATCAGTGGATAGTGCCCCTAAACTAATTTTTTCGGTGGGGTGTGTGCCCCCCACCTGGCCCTCTTGCCTCCATCCTCCCCCTCCCCCCCCCACCATAAAGTTCATGAGAAACTGAGGTCTTTAAAGGACTGTCACAGAATGAAAAGGCTTAGAGAACCCGGTTCTGTGTGACATCACTGAGGCACCCCATCAGGGTGGAGCAGATAGGAGCCAGCCGTCGTGTGTGGCCACTGTGACTCCTCCTGGATCTTTTAAGAGAAATGGGGGTCCCCATGAACACCACAGGCCAAGTCCTAGGGAGTCTTCAGAGTAGGGTCTGAATGGGTTAGAAATGTAACAAAGTATTGATCTCTTAAGCCCTTGGAATATTTGAATAAGGGTCAGCTGCTGAAACCTGAGACTGTCCTGTCTGGCCACAAACAGCCTCACCCAGGTACCCCTGTATGTTGGACCCCTGTTTGTATCATGATGTGAAAAAATTGGGAAGCACAGGCTTAAGGCATGGCGATGTGATGCCGTTCTGACCCATGGAACTTGGGAAAAGCCTTGGAAGATGGATCTGGGAAAGATTTTCCTCCATAATAAGAAGAGTCACCCAAGAGAAAATGCCTTCTTCAACCAATGCTGTTACATCTATGTGTGAGCCTGCAACTTCTGAGCCATCTTGCAAAGAACCAGTGTAATGTGGAGAAGGTGAGTGATGACAAAAGGTTGGGTCCTGCACATTGTTGAGCCACTGAGGCATCCCTGCAACTGTCTATCTTGGGAATTTATTTTGGGAGGGGGACTGGATAATATTTCTCATTGTTTAAGCCACTTTTATTTTTGTATTCAGTTATTTGTAGCTAAAAGCAGCCAAATACAGAAGAACTGGTACATCCTTGACACACAGTGAGTGCTCAATAAGGTTAACTAATTACCAAATTAGATCCTTTGCCTTTAGAAAAGCTGCATGGTGAGATGTATACTTATCTTATTCCTTAATATTTGAAGGATTTGTTCAGTATGTAGATTCACTTTTAATCTTTATCTTGATTCTTTCTTAAAAGTGTTTTTAATTGGGTAGTAAAAACAGTAATTGAAAAATGAAGTCATTTTAGGCTTGAGAGCAATTGATACAGAGATGTTGATACGCATTTTCTTTTCTTGAAAGCTCTAGACAAACTAGAGCTTTATCACATGAAAAAGGTGA